CGCCCGCTCCCAAGCGAGGAGGGACCGGCCTCCCCTCCCAGAAAGCGTGGGGAGGGGTGGGGAGCGGCCACCCGCAGCCACCGGTACCTTGAGGACGCCCTCATCCCGCTTGGGGGTGATGTCCGCCCCTTCCAAGGCAGCCCCCTCCGCTTTGATCTCCTCCGCCGTCATCCCGCCTGCCGCTGCCACCGCTGCGCAGAGAAAGGCCGCCTGGCGGGGGCCGGGGGGGGGGTCGAGAGGGTCCTCCCGCCGGGCTGTGGGGCTGTGGGCTACCGCCTCGCTTCGCTTCGCCTCCGGCTTCCCGCAGCAGCGCAGGCGGGCGCCCCGCGCCTCCTCTGCTCCTGCCTTCGCCGCAGCGCCGGCCCCCTCTCGGCGGGGAGGAGGAGGAGGAGGAAGAGGAGGGGACGAAGGAGGGACCGAGAAGTTTCTAGAGGCAGCCGGGCTGCCGCAAAGCGCCCGCCCATGCCAGGGGCCGGGGTGAAAGTGCGCGGCGCCCCTGGGGGCGGAGAGGCCATGGCCAGCGGGGAGGGAGGGAGGGAAGGAAGGAGGGGTGTAAGGTGGGGAAAGGTGGAGGAAGAGGAAGGAGTTTATTCACCAGAAGGAGAAGGGTGCGCTCTCACAGCGCTGGGCAGAGGGGGGAAAGTGCGGCCCCCCTCTGTGAGGAGGGGCCCGGCCCGGCCCTCAGAGTCAGACAGCCCCTGCCCCCTCAGGCTTCTGCAGGGGCTCGGGCTGGTTTTCTTCTCTCCCCCTTGCGGGTGCTCAGGGGGAAGATCATAGAATCATAGAATTATATGGGGTTGGAAGGGACCTCTGGAGATCATCTAGTCCAACCCCCCTGCCGGAGCGGGTCTACCTACAGCAGGTTGCACAGGAACGTGTCCAGGTGGGTTGTGAATGTCTCCAGAGGAGATTCCATCATCTCCCTGGGCAGCCTCTTCCAGGGCTCTGCCACCCTCACAGGAAAGAAATTCCTTCTCATGTTCAGGTGGAAGTTCTTATATTCAAGTCTGTGCCCATTTCCTCTTGTCCTGTCACTGGGCACCACTGAAAAAAGATCGGCCCCATCCTCCTGACACCCACCCTTTAAGTATTTGTATGCATTAATTAGATCTCCCCTCAGCCTTCTCTTAACTAAAAAGACCCAAGTCCCTCGGCCTCTCCTCGTAGGAGAGAGACTCCAGGCCCCTCATCATCTTTGTAGCCCTCTGCTGTACCCTCTCCAGCAGTTCCCTGTCCTTCTGGAACTGGGGAGCCCAGAACTGGTCCCAGTGCTCCAGATGGGGCCTCCCCAGGGCAGAGCAGAGGGGCAGGATGACCTCCTTCAACCTGCTGGCCACGTTCTTCTTGATGCCCCCCAGGATGCCATTGGCCTTCTTGGCCACAAGGGCACATTGCTGGCTCATGGTCATCCCGTTGTCCACAAGAACTCCCAGGTCTTTCTCCTCAGAGCTGCTTTCCAGCAGGTCAGCCCCCAACCTGTCCTGGTGCAGGGGGTTATTTCTCCCCAGGTGCAGCACCCTACACCTGGTAGAGGGTAGAAAGATGAAGATGGTAGAAACAAGCCCAGCAGCGGGCCCCAGGAGCCGGGGCATCCCTCGTGTGGCCGGGCTGGGGATCCCCTCAGGAACCAGGTGCCTGTAAATGCGTTGTTACCCCCAGCCCAGGAAAGGTGAAGACAGCGTAGGGCATAGAATGTGAATTCTGTGGCTTTGGCATTGGAATCCGTGAGGGTGAGCATCACTGCTTTGTGCGTCCAGCTGCTGCTGGAATATTTGGGGATGCATCAATAGAAAGAGAAGCCCCCCTCTGAACGTGAAGAGCATTCGTGCAAGCATAGAGGAATTAGCAGACCGGTGATAAGATAGGGATAATTGTCTTCACAAACAGGTGATAAAGTGCGTGTAAGTGTCTCCACAAACAGGTGATGAGGTACGAACACGAGTGTCTCCACAAACAGCGAAGTTAATTTAAATTGCAAGAGTAGGATAAATGAAGGAAACGGGAGAGATAATTGAAACTGCAGGAGATAACTGAAAATGCAAAAGTTAGACTTTTATGTAACAGGCAGATCGAGAAGTCTGTACCTTCCAAGGACCCCAGCCAGTGGGGAAAGGAAGAGGGTTCCATGCGGCTGGGGAATTAGGATAAAATGGAGGCTGCGTCCTCTGGAAAATCGAGAGACCCCACCGAGGAATGCCCCAGTGGACTCTCCCTTTATTCCAGTAAAGTCTCTGCAGGACTCCTCTGTCTCCTTTGGGAACATCCATCTCTGGCTGCGGGATTTTTTTGCACACCAGGTTCTGGGTTTACTTGGCATCCACACAAACCTCATGGGCTGTACGCTACTTCTGGCAAAATCATTTTCAACTTCCAAGGATATAAAATCAGACCAGGGCCTTGTCAGTCAGTCATTTCGGGCATGAATCTTTACAGCAAAAGCTTCCTTTGGCTACAACCACTGAGGCTACAGGCCATTGAGGCTGCCTCCCCTCCCCGAGTTCTTTTTCCAAGCCACATCGCCATCCCAGGGTGTGGGCCTGTGCTATGCAGATCTCTTAAGTTCAGAAAGGATCCCTGGAAAGGATGCCAAAGGTTTGGCAGCAGCGTGTGAGGTTGCTCTGTGCAACCTCAACCTTGTATGCACGTTGCATCTGTCCTGACTTTGCCATGCAGCCAGGAGTTGTTCTGTGCCGGTGTAAAGATGCGCCTGTGAACGGTGCACGACTCCAGCAGCCTTAGAATGGCTCTGCAGTGCCAAAGGAAAGTAGCAGCAAGAAGCAGAAGCGCCTAAATAAAGATCCTGTAGTTAATTAAGCAGGTGGGAATAAACTGCGAAATCTACAGGTTTCCCCCGAAAAAGACCAGGCTTTTCAGGCCCTAGCAAACATAAACTGTAGCACAGTTCCAAAGTGACTAAGTAGGGGAGAGGGAAAGAAAACAGTTGTGGTTTCTGGGTGCATTTGGTCGAGAAGCTTCTAGCTGCTGTCAATTTGCAATTTAACACGGATGAGTTACTTGGTTGCGGGTTAAATCTGTGAGAGGTTCAAAGCTGGTTCTGTGCACAGACCCTACACCCTGATGCACTGGCACCGAGGAAAGCAGTGAGAAGCACCTAACCTGGCTCTGGTCCAGCAGGTCTTGTTGAGGGAGGCACAGCAAAAGCATCTTCAGATCCGTCTTCACCTGTCCCAAGTAATGGGTCTATATGGTACTGAATTTCCATTCTCCAGTCAGCACGAACAAGTTCTCTGCACTCCCAGTTCATCAGGTTTGACCTCTCTTTTCACCTAGATTTTCTAATAATAAGCCAACTATATGTTGATTTTAAATAAGTTTTTGCTGGTCGTCTGCCTTATGTTTGGTAATGAACCTTCTGTTTAGGACCAGTACTTTTTCAGCTGTATGTTGTATACTTTCAAAATCCAGCATTTAAAAGTTGCAATATGTAGAAATGGTGCCAAATTAGCCTTCTTTCGGGTGCAACAGACAACAGTTGAAAGGGGGCTGTATGTGGAGCTCTTTATGGAAAAGGGGGCAGAGATAGTAGGAAAAAGGCAGTGAGCATTTTAGGTGGTGTCAATGCCCTAATGCTTTTGCTAGGGTATGTATGGGTGGAAAGCAGGTCAGAAGAGTCTCTCTTAAGCCTCATTTTAAGCCTCTTTTAAGTCATGTTTATGGCTTAACGCATTGGAAAGCAGCCTTAATGTCACGCCAGGCCTGTTTTCTGAAGATATATGGTGCAGACAACTTTGAAACTAGAGGCAGTAACAAAGCAAGGTGGGGAGGATACAAAGGAAAGATTTGAGAACTTGATGGGTACACTTAGGAGAGGTGAAAATGAAAATTTTGGCAACAGCTTTCAGGCAGAGCAAAAGACAAGTGAGATGATTGTCTAAAATAACAGAGAATAGCCTGGGCAGCAAAATGTCCTGAAAAGCGACTAATTGCAGCAAGAGTCTGAAACAGCCTCCCAGGACATGAAGCCTATCTAAAGGTGGTCTGCAACACGCCAGATTTATGGATAGGTTTATGTAAAGACTTTTGAGAGATAACAAGGTTCGGACGTAAAAGATGGTGTGGGATCACAGCTCAGCTGCAGCTTTGTTGACAGGTGCTGGACAGGCAGGGGGAGGACTTGGGGTGGCCTAGCCCATCGAGGAAGGAAGGACCTTTGGGGTGCTATCAAAGGGTCAACTTCACGGATATGTCAGAGCTCAAATCACTGCAGTGTGTAGGTTGACCAAAGCCTTGCTGTGACAAACTGTGGCCTGGAGGTTCCCTTCCCCAGTTTTATGGATCAACCAGGCACCACAGACTCACACGAATGGGGATAGGAAGTGAGGAATGCAGGTCTGTGCAAGCTCAAAGATGACAATGCAAGGTAACAGCAAACAGAAGAACCAAAAAGGGAACAACCCTGAATATTAATCTGTGATTGGAACGTGGAACTGAACCCAAGCTTATCACAAGCACTGGGTGCACACTTAATTGGCTTGAAAGTACTCAGCATGGAGTGTAAGAAAGGAATAAAACCAGAAGCCACACGCTCCGTGTTGACTGGGACTCGCTGCCAGTTGGCTTGTGGACCAACAGCCCAGCCATTGTCAGGGAGGCCCCCAATGCCAACTGCCAGGGAAGACGTGGTTTGACCCAGCACGGCTCCAGTGCAGTGAGGGCATTCCTAGGGAAACTAATACTGCAGGGATAGCTCAAAGGACATGGGTGAGAGCAATAATTTGTGCGGCCATGTTATTTGAAATCATGTCCTACAACATTGATCAATTGTAAGTATCTATCTGTCTACAGTAACAAAGAACTAAGTAAACCTGTTACTTTTTTTTTAACTTGGCATACATTTCTTCTGAGTGATTGCTTGGTTAATCTCAGGATCTGGAAGAAGCCCCAGATGCTCCTCTGTTGATGTGTCACACACTGAGTTGGAAAAGAATATGATACAAGAGATCAGGGATAGCTTGTAATACTTCTACATGTTGCTTTATAAAATATAATGGCGCATGGTAAGGAGGAAATAATGTTCAGTTTCTGTGAATTGCACATTTTTGTTTCATTGCAATAAGCAGTGCTACCCTTGAAGTCCACAGCAGGGCACAAACCTTCATCAGTCTTAGAAACAGTTTGTGTGACACATCTGTGACAGGCTATTAAAGGATGTCAGCTGCTGCCTGCCCACCTGAGTTACACCCTGCCTGGTCTTTCTCAGCTTCAGTCATCTGTCCTAGTACCTCTGCTTTCCCTTGCTCCCTAGCAGCATATAGCAAAAGAAGTCCTGTGCTGTCCTTTCAGCTTAGAAGAGATAAAGTTGTTTTTCCTTATCCTTTACCACATCACTGCACACTATAGCAGCTTGGCATGGCCCACCTGCAAAGAGCATTAGACCTCTTCTCTGTTCCTTTTCAAATTAAAACAGTGGTGTTACATTCATCCCCCACTTTAAAACCTAGCAACATTTAAAGGGAAATTATCAGAGCTGTTATATAGCAGGCGTGCGAATGAGACTCAACCCCTCCAGCTCAGGATTGGAAAAGGGCTTTTATCAGCAGTTCTTGGAGATTTCTGAGCTGCTCTTCTCCTTGTTCACCAATAGATGTCAACCCTTCTCTCAAACTACAGGCCATAGGACTTCCCTTTAGGCAAGTGTTTTTGTTTTCTAAAAATTATTTTCTAGTAAGGTTATGATTTCTTCTCCTGTCTTCTGCACATTACTTTCTATTATTCAGTGATTTCATTTATGTGATACATGCTGTCCTTTTTAGATCACAGATAGAGATTTTCAAAAAGACTGAACAGCACTTTTTTGTAGACGTCTCTTCTGGTTCAGTGTATCCCTGTACTGACCATAGCCCATCAGCCTGTTTTCAGTTCATAAGTTAGTAAAATTCATTTTAATTAAGATGTTAATTACCTTTCCAAATGCAAAATTATTTTAAACTGCTTTTAAACAGCTGCTTTCATTTTTTTCTTTCCTGGCCTTACCTTTAAAAGCAATTAAGATTGCTGGATGGATATTAAGGTTTTCTATCTCTTTGCATCCTGCTAGCCAGAGAGTATATCATAATGTGTGCATGTTAACACTACCAGAAAGGATGGGAAATTCCTGGGTTTTTTTTCCTTAAAACAAAGCAGTATTTTACTAGGCTTGGAAATTATATTATTTTGTAATCTACTGCTGTGAAGTGCTGTATGATAATAATGCCAATAACAGTAATTACAGATGGTAATTGCCTATTTGGTTCTGCTGCACTTTTACTAAAAATGTTTGGTTTGGTTTTTTAGTTTTTATTGGCTTTCACTCTGTTTTCTAATAACTCTTAGCACTGTAATTGTAAAAAAAAAATATATATATATATGAATACAGTAACTTCTTTTGGTAATTGATTTTTGACCTAAGGTGGGTTTGATAATCTAATTCTGTTAATGTATATGGATTACATCTTTTCCCCATCCTGGTTTTTATCAATAGCCACCTTTGGAAGGTATACACTATTGGTGCTTTTTGTGATGTTGCTGTTGGTGGATCTTGCTTTTATTTTGGTGTTGCTGTTAATTTTACAACCTAATCTTTTCTGGCTCTGTTTCCCTTTGATGTATTTAGCTTTGATCCTTTGACTTCCATTATGTAACACTAGAAAGGTTTTTTAGGATGTATTTTTTTCCAACTTTGTCTTTCCCATGTAAGCTTTCCTGCTTGCCTGCCTCCCAATTCTCCATCCCCCTTCTCCAGCTGTATCACAGGAAGCTCAGCTTGGACATCAGGAAAAGGTTCTTCATTGAGAGGGTGGTTGGTGGCTGTGACAGGCTCCCCAGGGAAGTGGTCCTGGCAACAGTGCAAGGACCGTCTGAACAACGCTCTTAGTCATATTGTTTAGTTTTAGATAGTCCTGCAAGGAGCAGGGCGTTGGATTCTGTGATTCTTATGGGTCCCTTGCAACTCTAAATACTCTATGATCTCCACTAGGTGCCTTCTTTTACCATAGTTTTGACCATTTCTTTAAGAAATGTCCAAGTTTAAGTGTTGTTTTCTTTCTGCATGTGATCCATTGCACTTGAATTTATTGCTGCATCTCACCACCCTTCTTTCACATTGCTTGGTCTTTAAATTTCATGGGTTTCTGCTTTAGCCTACCCCACTGGTGGCTTCATGGTGCTTATGCTTTCACAGGTGTTGAGAAGGGTGGAGAAGCATGCAGAATACACCTGAGATATTCAGTTCTGAGAGTGAGTCATTGTCTCCATCTTCAGGTCAACACAAATTTGAGCCCATTCTCAAGTGGTCCAGCCTCACAGTTACCCTGGATACTGTTCATATGTGAGCACACACTAAGCTCCTGATCCTCCAGCAGGGCAGAGCCTGAGCACATTACTGCCCTAACATCAGACCAGGCTCTCACTTGTATGCTCAAGACAGCTTTAGAGTCCACTTGTTCTTGCAGTGTAGACAGTGGCTTTCATTATAAGAATATGCCATAGCACACTTTGAAATACACTTGCAGTTTTTATATATGTTAAATTTGCATTTGTGCTACACAGCACATGAGTCAGAATCACAGAATCAGAGTGGTTTGGGTTGGAAGGGAGTCCAACCCTCCTGCCCTGCTGGGGCATCTTTAAGTCATGTTACTCAAAGTCCTGTCCAGCCTGACTTTGAACACTTCCTCTGATGGGGCATCCACAGCTTCTCTGGCTAATCCATTCCAGTGTCTTACTACCCTCAGAATAAAAAAAAAACCTCCTTCCTTATATCCGATCTAATCTACCCTCTTTCAGTTTAAAGCCTTGTTGACACTGAACAGACAGGAAGAATAGAAATACTTCTGTCTCAATAGCAAATGCCAAGTGTCAGCATCCCCCTCCTTGCCAATTTGTTGCTAAACATGTTAAGAAGCAAGAGCCTAGTGACTCTTTACTGCCTGCAGACTTTGCAGCATACTTGGTCCTTGGTTATTGTGCAGACATCTAGACTGTAAATCTGAAAAAGAGGAAAGACTGGAAACCCCAAGGGTCCTCCCTATTTAGGAAGAGCAGCCAAATCCCTAGGAATTGTGTCTCACTCACTCACTTAAGCTGCCTGTGTTCTTAACAAGTGATCCACTTTTGTCCTGTCTCAGATTTTGCACAGTCGCATACTTTTTACTCACGGAGAGCCTCACAGGCTTTACAGGGACCTTTAAGGACTCCATTCAGTTAAGAGAGTTACAATCCTTTCCCAGCCAGCCACTCCTTTTTCTGGATAAGTGCCAGGAAGCACCCGTGTTTTTAGAGAACCCGGGCCTAGAATGTTGGCTTCCAAATCCTATGATAAGAAGGGTGGGGGCAAAGAAGTAAGGGTGGTTTTTGACTGAATTTGCTTCAAACCTAGTCCTGTAGGGTAGTCCTCAGGTAGAATACAAGTTCCTGAAACTATCCACCTGATTTTTTTTCTCCCCTACACCATGGTCAGTGTAGCAGTACGTAAGTACGTACATAGGTACATTAGTATCAAATCCACAGAAGCCACCAGAAAAAAAATTCAACATTTTTCCCAATGTTACTACTTTGTTGCATGATTCCTGGCAAACCACTTAGATCTCGTATTTGCCTTTAAATGTAGGGCTTATTCAAACCCAGAAGAACAAAGCTGGGATTCAGACTAACTCAGCAAACAAGCACTAAATTACTGGCCCATGTAGTTTTTATCCTACGTTAATCAGCAACTTCAACTCAGCAGTCATATGGAAAAACAGTAGAGTCTCACAAGAGTTCAGGTCAAAAATGGGAGCTTCCAGGCACGTCCAGAGGACAAGCAATGGGAATGATACTGTCATTCTTCATCACGTTGCAGCTTCTGAGCGCCCTGGGGCTCGTGACAAATAAATACAAATCAAGAATGCTGCTTCTCCAGGATTTCCCAATTTTCCCGCGTTTGCATGCCAAGGATTTGCTCTCAGGGTAGGACAAATATGAAATGCACGTGAAGACCAGAGGGCACTGCTCCAGTGTTGGCATGGGATGCTGCCAGGGAAAGGGCCAGGCCCGCGGCAGAGCAGCTCCTTCCCTTGACGTAGGCATTGTTCTCCAAGTCAGCCTCCTGAATCCTGAACGACAGGAACTGGGTGGGACTGGGTCATACTCCCTACCTCAAAACCTTCCTGTTTGCACAGTCCCAGTAGCCCCAGCTCAGCAGGAGATAATTTTGCCAAACTTTCGAGCTGGGGGGAGCCTAAATAGAGCGCGTGTCAGCCATACACCTCAGAGGTCTTAGCAATTGAGGTTAGCACCACTTTCCTTACTTCATAGATGGGAAAACTGGTGAAACAAAGCTACAGAAAAGGGAAATTATTTCCTTGAGATCACGTGGCAATTTGGACCCTGGAACTAGGGCATGGATCTCCTGCGCCCAGACCTGCTCTCCTAAATAGTATGTGACTTAAAATGACAGTTATTTCAGGGGAGATGGTTGTCCTCATCATTTATGCTGACTCTCCTCCTAATCACAGCACCTCTTAGTAGTAAGCAAGGGCTTACAGTGCCTAAATGGAGGTAGAAAAGTGCAGCTTTGGAATATCACCTTGCAGCAACTATTGTGTAGTTCTGTATGTATCTGATTAGGAAGAAAAATATGAACTGCATCTTTGAATTATGCCATGTGTAGTGTTGATAAGGTATTTTCATTTTCTGGCTATTTCCATGTAAACCATCTCTACCAGGCAAGTTCCCAGTAGACTTCCTGGAGCCTCTGTCCCTCTCCCTTTCCAAATGAACTCTTAATGGGAACATGAGCACCTTTATTTCCCTATCCTTTTCCGTAAGGCATAGCAGAATTTGTTGGAACAGCCACTTTCTTTTCCTCCATCGTCTTCATATATTGGTCACATCTGTTTAAATGATAAATAGCATGATAAGAAAGCCAAGCAAGCAAAAAAAAATAATATAAAAATCCCAAATGACTGAAAAAGTTGTGTCCACAAAGCTGCTTCCAGTAAGTTGCTTGAAGTTCCTACTAAACAACCCAGAAGTGACCCCACAGAATTGTTACAGCTTTATTGCTGAACCAATGTAATGAATGTTAGTCTTCTCTCCACCAAATAAGTGATGTGAGGATGAAACCCGCTGCCACGTATGAGCTGTTAGTGGATGGTGTTGGGCCATGGGACTTCACTGGCAATTTTGTTCCTTGTGAGCTGCTACTTGTTGGAGAGGCTGTTCTGATGACTTGTTGGAGAGGCAGGTTCTGATTGCTGTTTCACGGTATGAGAAGGGCTGGATGGTGGTTGTTTCCCATGAGGGAATCTTGAAGGACTCCAAGTTTTCCCAGTTCCTCAGAAATGCTGTGGGGTGGCTCAAGCCTTTCCCTGAGGCCCTGGTTGGGTCCATCCTCATTTGAATTCCCTCTCCCAGCTGCTGGGGGTGTACCGTAGGGATGTCTATGACAGCATGCAGGCAAAAGGCTTGGTTGGCTTTGTAAAGGGGGATGGAAGGCTGCTCACTGGTGGCCAGGCCTGGCACTGGGCTAATCAACATGGCAAGGAGAAGGTTCTGTTTGAATTTCCTGGCAACCAGGTAACGAGCGTGGCTGGCGTGTACTTCACAGGAAATACAGTAGAGAAGGGCATCTTCAAAGTTACCAAGAATATTTCCAAGATGCCCTTAATTGTCCCGTGAGTATCTGAACTGCTCTCTGTTAAAACAACTGATGGGGTTATGCAGGTGAGGTGTTTACAGAAGGTTCTTGAGGTGAGAGATGAGGACGATGCCGAATGCTGGTTCTTTAATAGCCAGGGTGGGATGCAACTGTTGTCTTCCAATTTAAGGGGGACTTTCCTGCTGTTTGCAGTTGGAAAGAATGGTGTCTTTGCTTCCAGGGCAGTTGGGCCATGCCCGAGGAATTCATTCAAGGGGAAGGAAATGAGGGGAGCCATCTTTTAGAGCAGTCTGTCTGATCAAGTGTGTGGATACAGCAACACAGGGACAACAGGAGTAATTCCTTTCCCTCTCCCCAGATGTGTATCATCAGGGCAACTTTCCTACAGTTCAAAACTAGGTTGGAGATGGAGCACCAGGTCAGCCCTCTGGGCCAAGCTCTGGCTGGCAGCTGCTAAACCTGTTTAACCTGCTATTTGCAGAAATTCACCTTCAGGTGAAACCCAGGGGCTGGTGCTGGCGTGCCACCTTCTTTCTCAGCTTCTGACATGGGCTGTGGACGGGAAATCTTGGTGCTCCCAGTTCATTTGGGATGCCAGCCTGGTCCCTTGGGTACTGGAGCAGCAGATGTAAAGCTCAGGGCTGCTATGACTCATATTGCACAGCAGACCAGGCAGGCAGCAGTGTCCTGGGCATTGCTCTCCATGTCTCCTTGCCAGCAGGTGTGCCAGCCATGCCGCTGTCTTCCTCCACCTCTCCTTGCCAGCAGGTGTGCCAGCCATGCCTCACCCCGCTTTCTGCTGAGTTACACAAGGCAAAGCAGGTTCTCCAAGGAACATGAGTGAGTGCTGCTGTGCTTCCTCTGTGCGGCAGCTTCATTTCACTGCAGTGCAAGCTGCAACAATTACAATAAAATTCCCTGCAAGTCTTTCCTTAGTAGCCTTTTCCTTGCGCATATGGAATACTAAATTTCTGTTATTTTCAGGCCAAATAATTGGATTTGAGAGTCTCTGGGTGCCCAATTTGCTTCCCACAAAAAGGTAGTAGAAAGCTGTTGAATTCAGCGAAGTGCTTGGACACAGCTAACAAATTAAGTTACTAAATTAAAATTTGCTGATTGATTCTTGTTCCCACCTGCAGTGCACGGGCATGTTCCCACCGCCCCGTGTGCAGTGCATGGAAGAGGGAGAGTGGTGGAGAACCCAGCAGAGAGAAATTACAGAGCAATTAACAAGACTTTAAATGGTAACTTGGTGAATTACACCTTGTTTAGGGTGCTTTTGTGGTGGTTTTCTTTGGATCCAGAGCCCCAGAGAAATTTGGATACCTGATTTCCATACGATACAACAGCTTTGTGCATCTGGGCCTTTCCGCTGATCCCACAGAGGATCAGACTGCCCTTTAAGGCAGGTGCTGTGCTATATGCATGGGCATATACCCTGTGTGATAAAGGGTCTCAGTAAAGTCATAACCAAAGGAGAGCTGCAGATTTAATTCCTGTCCCATGGGCATGCAGAATGGCAGCATCATTTACTCTTCATGAGTTGGCTGCAATGGCCACGTAACAACAGATTATTTCCAGGTGTTGGGAGAAAACTGTGTTTTGCTTAGGAGAAAGTGTAAACAAGGCAACTGAGAATAATCCTACATGTGTTTCTCCACAGTGACATACAGGAGTTATATGGAAATAGCAGAGATAAGAGGGCCTTGCACAGTATAATCTCTTTATATAGTGGAGACCAACAAGTCCTTTAAGAAGGCAGCCCAGCCGACAGCCCAGCTGAAGTGCCGCTACACGAATGCACGCAGCACGGGCAACAAACAGGAGGAGCTGGAAGCTACTGTGGTGCTAGAAACCTATGATATAGTGGCCATCACTGAAACCTGGTGGGATGAATCCTACAACTGGAGTGTGGCTATTGAGGGCTACAAGCTGTTCAGAAGGGACAGGCGAGGAAGGAGGGGGGGAGGGAGGGTGTCAGGAGGATGGGGCCAGTCTTTTTTCAGTGGTGCCCAGGAGTAGGACAAGAGGAACTTGAATATAAGAAGTTCCACCTAAACATGAGGAGGAATATCTTTACTTTGAGGGTTGCAGAGCACTGGAACAGGCTGCCCAGCGAGGCCGTGGCGTCTCCTTCTCTGGAGACATTCAAACCCTGCCTGGACACGTTCCTGTGCAACCTGCTCTGTGTGGACCTGCTTTGGCAGGGGGGTTGGACCAGATGATCTCCAGAGGTCCATTCCAGCCCCATATCGTTCTGTGATTCTATAATTGGTAATGTGTTGAGGCCCTGATTCATCCTCTAAGAACTTATTATTTGTCTAGCTGTGTGTCTGCCTGTCCATCTGGCCTAGCTGTTCTTTTCTTCTTCAACGGTGGCAGAGGCTGGGAGAAGACACAGAGAAATCTTTTGGGCTTGCCTAGTTGATAATGACTAGGGTGGGGTAAATGTAACTGTCAGTCAGTTATTTAGGAAATGTTTTAGGACCATTATGGCTTCAACAGTGTTTAATACCACCACAATATGCACCTCTTATGAGGCTTTAGGGTAAGAGGATCTGAGGAGAGGGGGAGGTGTTGGGGTTTTGTGTTTTGTTTTTATTATTATTATTATTTTTTAAAGATACTAGTAAACACATTTAAACTTGGCATTTCCAGAGGTTCAAACTGGGATGGGCTTTCTTGCTAAAGGTGTGATAATCTTCTTCATGCTGCTACCCTATTGCTTTAAAACTGTATTTCTGACAGGTTGGGTAAAACCTGAGACCGTTCTGTGACTGTAGAGCAACAAAAAAGAAAAAGATGGGGTTTCCTTCTATTGCGGCTTAAAATCTCCAGAATCCACAAAGTCAGGCTGAAGTGCTTGACTGTTGAGGACTGTGTTCTCCCACCTTTAGGTAAGACAGCCTGGAGGAGTACGGGACTCTACCTCCCTGAAGGGCACGCAGCAGTTATAACATTCCCTTGCCTGATGGCCAGTGCTGGTTTGAAGGTAGGGTCTCTCTAGTTTGGCTTCCACTTACACGGATGCATTTGTCAGGTGAACACTCAAAAATAGCTCGCAAGAAGGTTTTGCTGCCTTTTCATTCCTTTCCTACTCCTGCCACCCTGTGGCATTTTGAATGCATTGTCATAATTTTTCACATTTCCCACACTTTTCTGTTGCATTCCTCTTCTTTCTGTGTGCTGGGAAGGTAACAGAGCATGGCTGCTGCCTGAAGGCAGCTGTATTTGTTTTGTTATCGTGCAAAGAGAACTGATCAAGGTGAATTTCATGCCCAAAATAAGTACTTGAGCCCCTCTATGCACCAAACTTAGTTCTGTCTCTGTAGATCTCTCATGAGGTACCTTCACAGCGCTGTCACTATTGCTCATGTAGATGTGTTCAGGTCAGATATAAACTAGTTACTTGGGATCCTGTTCACTGCAAAGTACAAAGCAGATAAATGCCTACCCCCTTGGATATTTTTGCAGTAAGCTCCCTGCAGCTGAAATGCAAAGTTAACTCAGGTGTTTCTGTCTGATCCTGTAGCCACGTGCTGTCTGTTTTACTAGTATGAGGACCAAGGAAGAGACACAATTAAAGAAGCCAGCAGTAATCCCATCTCTCCAACTCATATGTTACAGGATGTGACTGATGCTGGTGAATGGTGAAGGAATGATCAATGCAAGCACAGTGCAGTGAAAGAAGTCCTGCAGTACCTTGAACTGCTGGTGAAGGATGTTGTTGACCCAGTAATAATGGGAGGATTGCTGTAACACTACTAGAGACAGGGATAGCACTGAACTTCACCAGCTTTTTTCATGGTATTTTCTGCTTCTGGTCAGGCTGAAAGCCTAGGCTGGAGTCAGAAGGCTGCTTCTGCGTGCATGCCCTGGAAGGGCAGTGCTGCAACAGATGCCTCTGAGTGTTGTGGTCGGTCTTCCAGGTTGCACTCAGAGACCTTTGACCAGCTGTTCCTACCCTTCTGTTTGCCAAGTGCAGATCACACGGATGACCTCTCTCACGCCACAGAGCTGAAGCGAGCCCCAGTGGTAATACATACCTGTGATATTGCCTGCCAGAAACAGGCTATTTCCTGCCTATAGGGTGGCCATCATAGCACCAGCAAGGAGCAATCCTGGGGAAAGTGCCCATCATGGTAGAAGAGGCAGTCAGAGCTCCTTTCTTCAAGCTTGGTAGGTTTGTTTACCTTGGTGCCTTTCTCCTTAATGATGCTCGCAGTGCTGCTGTCTCTGTGACTGAAAGGAAATGTCTTAGAAATCCCTGGGTTTGGGAACACCCAGATGTAGTTTCCCTGCTTTGCTGTCTTCTGGGATTCTGGGTGTGTCACTTAGTCACTTGGTGCCTGCTACATGGCAGGAGGCAGATAAGGGAGCTGTCACAAAATAGGCAGAATTTGTCCAAACTGACATTTCTTGAGGTTGGAGTTGTCACTTCCAATGGAAACGGTTGTGTTGGAGGGAGACTGGCTGACCTCTGCCACAACAAATCTTGCATTGCACTGTTCTACTGCTTTACTGTTTCCCCATATGGCAATCTCTAGTCCCTACAGTAAATCCCTCTGCTGAATTTCCTGTGTTTCCCATCAGTTTCTCTTCCTGTATACAATTTCTTCTTGCTCTTCTGTCAAACTAAACAAAACCAGGGTTGTTATATAAATCACAAGTATCTGATGGAGAAGAAGAAATGCTAAGCCACACAGAAAAAATTTGCTGCACATCTTGGGAGTGCTAAGTTCTGCTGTGCTGAGCAAATGCCAGTTGAAAAGTTTCTAATCTGCAGACACAAATTTCCCTTCAGTTTTGGATGGACTAAACAGTTTCACACACATTTCTGGACCTGAACTTTTTGGGTGCCAGTGTCTGCTAAACACATGCATCCCTCTTATTAAAAAAGAGGGAACTCAAGATTTTAGATAGTTCCTGCAGGAAGGGGGTTGCCATTCATGTTCTCCAACTTGGGTTGTCTGCAAGCATAGTGTTCAAAGATGGCTGTGTACTCTCTCTACATAGTGAGTATAAAGGGCTGCTTATCCCCTCCTGCAGTAGATGTTTGAGTTTGGAGATGTGACTCTTCTATGAAGTTTTGGGAATCTTCAGAAGGAAAAATCAGGGATGAAGACACCAAGGAGACATGAGTAAAATCCCTTGCAGTGCAAGTTTCTTTCCTAGCATGATGCTGGGACGTTGTTTGTAGTATAGCTATCTTTTGAGGTTTAGAACAGGCTTAAGCCTGACAAGCTTTGCAGCACTTAAGCATGACAAACTGTGACTTCCATGTGCCTCATCCACACTGATGACTAGTGGAGTATAAACCTGCAGTATCCACACTCTTAACATAGGACGACTCCAGCTGTGCCAGGATGTTGAATCACATTATTGCATGATTCAGTTGCATTATCTCTGCTCAGTTTGTGAGAGTTCAGGTGTATCCTGGACAATGGTCAGGCTTTTTCCCTCATCCTAAAGTCTCAATCTCAGTCCAACCACGAGTGTGTGCTTACAGGATCATAGAATCATAGAGTTGTCTAGGTTGGAAGGGACCTGTAAGATCATAGAGTCCAACCATTATCCTAATGCTGCCAAAACCACCATTAAACCATGTCCCTTAGGAGCATGTCTTTTAAATACTTCCAGGGATGGTGATTCCACCACTTCCAAGGGAAAGCAGGCAAAACTGTGCTTAACTGATAGTTGAGTACTACCTTTACATTGCTTATTCGACTATTTGTTAGGGTGAAACTTGTACTGTTTCCTTATATCACAAAGAGAAAAATTGTCATTTATGGAAATATATTCTGGTTTGTGAGATGGAGGAAAAGCACTAGAGAAATGAAAAATATAGTCATTTATGTCTAAGAGGCACTGGAGTGAGCACTTTCGTGTTGGTACCTGTCTTTCCTGCAGGCTGGATATATGCTGGCTACCCCATCATGGGCCACCTGGATTCAGTGAAGGAGATGTTAGACATGAAGCACATGCAAGCTACTGGTCTTTGGTGACCTGTCCATGAGGTGGGACACAGTCAACAGCAGAAAGCATGGGAGTTTCCCCCTTATACCACAGAGGCCACCTGCAATCTCTGGTCTGTTTATGTTCATGAGAACATGCTGGGGATTCCCAGGCATCAGGTGCATCTGGCACGTAGGTCGCAGTGTTGGGAGGCAAGAATAAGAGAGTATCTGAAAAAAGACACTACACTAAAGGACTGGGAGATGTGAACTGCTCTGGAGACATACCTGCAGGTAACTGGGAAAACTGGACGTATTCTTAGTACAGTCAGTGAAACCTGTGTTCAGAAGGATGCCTCTGCAGCCTGGTGACTGTAGCTGTCATGACTTGTAAGTGTTTGCTTATAATAACAAGGATATTCATTTGAGTTAGTAACAGTTCCAAATGATACAGTCTCAAAATTGTGGCAGATGACTGGGATGAAAAATCAGAAAGGACCTGTAGGGTTTTGGTCCCAGGCATTACAAGGTTCTGCTATACATCATAACCCAATTTATCCTCTTATTTTACATCTTTGTTATTACCAGATTCTTGAGTTTTTGTATTTCAGGTGTCTTCGGTGAACATCTGTGCATTATCTAGAGGAGACAGAATTGGAATGCTGTTATTGATGTTGCAAACCCAACATCGAATTGAGGTTCAATCTGAAAAATCACAAGCCGTAGCTCTAAAATCTCTGTGGGCACTTGCCTAGCATCAGGTTATCAAACCTAAAGTAATAGTAGCCGGCGGAGCTGAAGCAGCACGTATGTGTCACTGGGAGGAGATGTCACTACTGTATTCCTCCCCGTCACAGGTTGGCTCATCATGCCTTGTAGCCTGGTACTACAAGAACATGACCTGGCTACACCCCTGCAAAATCAACATGTAAACACTCGGATTTGGATAGCCTCTACTGCAAATAACTTGTCTGCATTTAATGCTAAGGGAAGACTAACAGCTGCAGATCATTAGACAACTTGTTTCAGAGGTGCATCAACACCAGCAGATCTATGATAGAATTACCCTGTGCTGAGTGACTTTTCCATTAATGTTTCATTGCTGTCTTTTCTGAGTAGGTAACAGCCATGTGCCAATGAACATTACAAATTGACTGACAATAGATTATTTCCTCCCTGGACACCAGAAACACTGCTTTGACTTTGAAAACCTGTTGCTTCAACATAACTGAATAACTGATGAATCAGCCAGCCCAGAGCACAACATTCAACGTTCTCCAGGACCGAATGCATCAGACGGAACAACCTCCTGGTGGTGCCCAGCTGGTTGAGGGGTTTAATTCCTGGATGGGAAGAACAGGACACCGGTTGAGGGGTTTTAATTCCTGGATGGGAAGAACAGGACACCTGATTAAAAGCATTATTGTAGAGATAGGTTTATTCCTTTTTCTATATATGTTTATTGCATGCTTCTGTAAGTTAGTCAGTACTACACCTTACAAGCCTAAATGAACCTCTCTAGTTTTGTAAATCCTGGGAGAAGAGGTCTCTTGAGCGAGGCAGGGGAATGAGAGGAAGTAATGGAAGATTGGTGAGGAGGACTGCAAACATGCTCAAGTGACTCGCATGTGTGGTGCTGGAAAACACCAAGCATGCTCAAGTGACTCTCATGTGTGGTGCTGGAAAACACATCTATCACACTAAATCTCCTCTTGGGCGAGGCAGGGGAATGAGAGGAAGTAACGGAAGATTGGTGAGGAGGACTGCAAACATGGTCAAGTGACTCGCATGTGGGGTGCTGGAAAACACATCTATCACACTAAATCTTGCTTAGTTTTGTGTGCTCTACAGTTAGAACATCTGCACTCAGATAACATAAGTCTGGGAGGGACTCAGGGACACCTAATCAAACACGCCTGAGATGCTTGCCCTGCTGTTGAAGAGATCAAAGCCCAGCAGAAAACTCTGCCTGCCAGAATCCTTGAAATACAGCCCCAAACAGCAAGTGGGAGCTCCCTCGCTCCCTCAGTCCTTGCTAACGAGGACTCTCATGCTATTAAGGACTCTTGCTCCACAGTGCCTGCGTCTCCTCCTTGCCTGCCTCTGCCCAGGTGCATATCATTATATTGATGATCAATTGATTATGGCAGAGTTGCAACAAGAAAGTGAAGCAGCTGCCAAATTGCTAAAAGTTCATCTGCAGGACTGAGGTTTGGCAAATAATCCAAAGAAAATACAGAGCCCTGGTGCTACTCTACAATTTTTGGGAATAGTTTGGCATGGACATATCAGAAAAATACCAGATCAGGTATGGCAAACAAGGCAGCTGTTTCCTGTACCAATCACAGTAAAATGGTTACAGACCTTTGGAGGACTTTTAGGGTATTGGAGAAATTTTATGCCACTTTTGGTCATATCAATATGCCTTTGGCAGAAATTAACTAGGAAGAAAGTTGTCTGCCAGGGGACAAAGCAACAAGTAGAAGCCTTTGGTGCCTGCAAAGATGCTTTGCTTGTGCGTGCACAATTATACACTCGTAACAAGGAGGCCTCTGTCGAGGCCTGTAGGGGTCCACAGGGACCCGTATGGTTCTGCAGGGGTCTGTAGGGGCCTGTGGGGGTCCATAAGAACCCATAAAAGTCTTTAGGGGCCCCTAGGGGCCTGTATAGATCTGTAGGCATCTGTAGGAGTCTATAGGGGCCTATAGGGGTCCGTAGGTATGTGTAGGGGCCCCTAGGGGGTCCACCTAGGGGTCTGTAGGGTCCTGTAGGGCCCTGTATAGGTCTGTAGGGCTTATAGGAATCTGTAGGGGTCTGTATGGTTCTGTAGGGGCCTGTAGGCCCCTGTAGGTGTCCCTATGGGTCTGTAAGTGCCAGTAGGGGCCTGTAGGGTCCTGTAGGAGCCTGTAGAGGCCTGTAGGCTTCTTTAGGGGTTTGTAGCCATCTGGAGGGGCCTGTAGGGGCCCATAACAGCCCATAGGGGTGTGTAGGGTCCCCTAGGGATCTGTAGGGTTCTGTAGGGCCCCGCAGGGCTCTGTAGGGGTCTATAAGGACCCATAGGGATCTGTAGGGCCTCTAGGGGTCTGTAGGGTCCAGTTCTGGGCTCCTCAGTACAGGAGAAAGATGGACCTACAAGCACAACTTCAGGGAAGGTCAACTAAAATGATTAAAGGATTGGAGCATCTGACATAAATGAAGCAGTGGGTTTTTTAGCCTTGAAAATGGAAAGCTCAGAGGAGACCTAATCAGTGCATATAAATACCTGATGGGAGGGAGTTTATAACAAGAAAGTAGCCAAAGAAGCACATGGAAAGACAGGATCAAATGGAGTTACTGGACTCTGTACAAAGGGGTGCCTATCAGCAGTTAGTGCAATCAACTAATAAAGAAGAAAAGGTTCTCTCTAAAACTCATTCAAATGATTTAGAAATGCTTTGTCAAGAAGGCTACAAGGCAGCATGATGTGAATTTATTTTTAAGTATACTGCAGTCAAGATAATCAAGCAAGTCTGATTAGAAAATACCCATGTGAAACTATGTGGGCCAAAACTGCTGTAATCTAAACCAGAGACCAAGTAGACTACCTGATTCAGGTAATCGTGAATAGAGTATGTACAATTTTATTTGGGAATACATCTTTGTGAAGATGAGAATGAAGTCAGATTTTTTTGGTGATAAAACAGAAGTGGATGATGTCTGCACCTCATTTTTTATGCTGGTTTTGGGATTAATACATTCATACGCTCTGTACAAAGGGGTGCCTATCAGCAGTTTAAACAATCAACTAATAAAGAAGAAAAGGTTCTCTCTAAAACTCATTCAAATGATTTAGAAATGCTTTGTCAAGAAGGCTACAAGGCAGCATGATGTGAATTTATTTTTAAGTATACTGCAGTCAAGATAATCAAGCAAGTCTGATTAGAAAATACCCATGTGAAACTATGTGGGCCAAAACTGCTGTAATCTAAACCAGAGACCAAGTAGACTACCTGATTCAGGTAATCGTGAATAGAGTATGTACAATTTTATTTGGGAATACATCTTTGTGAAGATGAGAATGAAGTCAGATTTTTTTGGTGATAAAACAGAAGTGGATGATGTCTGCACCTCATTTTTTATGCTGGTTTTGGGATTAATACATTCATACCTGCTATGTGTACCTGCTAAAGTGTATAATTGGTACAAAAGTCCTGAAAATGAGAATGAAAAGGTATGAAATAGACTTGTCAAACATGTGAGAGCTTTTCACTCTCTTTCAGCCTAGCTGTAATTCTTGTTCTAACAGACAGGCCAGAATGGTTCATTGCTGCCTTCTGCATTTTACATCTTTAAGACATTTTCCCCTATCTTTGTTGTTAAACATTTAAGAGAAAAGCACAGGTCCAAGAGGACATTCCTGTTTTGTGGAATTACTAAATTTCAGCAGAGGTAATTCTAGAAGTCCAGCGTCCCAGGTCATAATAAACATTAAGGAATGATGTGCTATTCCAGCCTCTAATACTTTTAAAACTGGCAATGAAATAAACCCAACCAGTAAGTTCCTGTGATTTGGCAGCTTCCAGTTTATCAGCTGAGCCATGTGAGCTGGATGTATGTGATCTCCCAGGCCTTTGGAATTGTGGAGTAAAACGAGTTAACTTAAACCACGTAACCAGTCATGTTTCATTACACAGCTGCAGCAGTGCAAGAGCACGTTACACTGCCAATTATTGTGTATTATTTGATGAACAGTAGAGTATTAAAATGGGGAAATTTGATCATTTGCAACTATTTATACATATGGATCAGACATCAATCCCACTGGTTACCTCAAGTGGAAAGTTTGAGCAATCTTATTTCCTAGTTCTTCTAGCTTAAAAAAGGATTACATTTAGCTTAGCACTCGTCCAACGTGACAACTCTGCTATTTCAGTACCCTGTCTAGTAGTGGCAAGACTTAGGCTCCTATAAAAAACCCAAAGAAAAGCTCAAAGATCTCAGTCAGGCAAAACTTAATTTATGTCCTGATGCTTATCTCATGTGGCAATCCTTTTATTTATTCACCTACTAGATGGCTGCATTTCAGCTCCTGTTATTTACACATTTTTTGCTCTGTACTCCATAAATCTCAATTCTTCTATTAACAAAGAATTGTATACCCCAAGGAAGATTGCTTATTATAGATCTTTATTCCATCAAACTTTCTGTAAGTGCATTTACAGCTCCCATAGGCCTACGGTCTCCTCCTTAGAATCAGTTCTCCTAAATACAATGGATGTATGGGACACAATGTTGATATTTAATGAGAACCACCCAAGAGCTCAGGTATTTACAGCTGCATTACAGCCATAGTCCTGCTTGGTCAAAACAATTTTTCTACTAAAAGCTAACTA